ATACTACTACTGCTACCACTGCCTGTCTCATCGTCTCCCTCGCCTACACCTCGCCTCTCTTCACTCCTGTGTGTCTCGGTCAGTGTCACCGACAGGCAGAAAGAAGTCAATGGACAAGTCATCTTGAGAATGTCTCTGTGAAGACAGGTGTTGCGTGGCTAGTAGGTTATACATGCTGGTATTCCGAATCGTCACTGCCCATCTCCACGCTCCCAGTACACTCGAATCAACATGGAAATTCTCAACATCAATCGGACCAAGCATCCAGATATCCATCCGGCCAACACTAACTTCCAGAAATCACTCGAATCACTCACATCAGCCACACTTCACTATTCACCGTCAACCCACCACCATCCACCCACCTACAAGACTGGAAATACATCGGAAGTCAGGTGATTCATATCCCTATGTTCTGTCTGGTCAGGTCATCTCATTCCATTGTGTCTGCCACTGACACGACGACAATTTCAATCTCTATGCTACTGCTCAGTCCGGATTCACACATCATAGTGTGTGAATCGTCGGCGAGACATCGCCTCAGTCTTCTGTCACGCTGTCAATCCACCACTCCACGCAGGCACAACCACACACACACACACACACAATCCACTAATGTGTCAGTGTGTCGTTTGTCTGTTCAGCTCTGTGTTGTTTGCTCACACGTGTTAGCGTTTGCAGTGTGTGAGTGAGCGTCTGTACTTTGTTCGGCGACTGTTTGATTGGTTGTGTTGTGTGTGTGAATTTGTTGGCTAGCTGTTTGTTTGTTTTGGTGCTGCTTATTCCGTGTGTCTATTGAATTCTGTTTTGTTGTGTCTTTGGATGTATATCTTAATTTATATATTATTATCTACATTTTTTCGGTAGTAATCTTCTTTGATGATATACTGAATTTTTATTTTTGATGTGGGCTGCCTACTGCGCATTGTTGTTTACAACATTTGATGTGCATGTTTACGTGCTAAATCTTACGCAGAAAAATAAATTATGAACAAAGCCCGTCCTAGAGGAAGTCAGCCACCAATCACAGCCGATTTAACTTGTGCCAATGCGTTTCGGAGATAACTCACCGGACAATCTTGGAAACGACAACAAAGAGGTGACAGATTAACCTTCAGCAGGAATGAAACGAATCAGACGACGTTTCTTCTCTGCCAACAATGACGAATAATAATAATATACATAAAAATCTAAAAATATCTGTTGATTTTCTCAATACACGATCTGTTGCCTGGCCGTTGTCTTCTGTCGTCACATTATCATCTCAGTGCATATATAATTCACCCATCGCAGAAAATACATACACCTTAACACGCTAACATATTATTTAATTGTCTGTGTTTAGTGGTGTCGTCTCAGTGTCACAGACGACTAGTGCGACGTTTAGTCGAGGAGTCAAACACTTTGATGTATTTTTGCTTATTTCAGCACAGTCATAGATAAACCAGTCACTGTGATGATCGATAAATACACTCTGTAGCTATATATATGTACTCGAGTTGTTATTTTTGTGTTCCACTTGAAGAATTTTGGTTTTTCCATATTCAATAAATTATTTTAGATTTTAGGCCCACTCTGATTTGATTATATTCTTAATGTCATATATATTTAGAAAATATGTAAGTCAATCTATACTTCACTAAATCTTAAAGTGTATAGCAAAGGCTCTCTTTTCATTATGCATGTTCGACGTAGTGGTACACAGGCTTAAATTTTGCATTTATGAAAATTATTCAATTAATAATTTTACTATTGATATTACATAGTTGGAAGCAATCGGCTACAGGAAGCGCCACCTGACCTAGGTTTCGTGCTAGTTGGCACTCACCAGTGTCAGTCAACAAGGCGTAGCTACAACCTTGAAGGAACTCATTTCCCTTCTGAGATTCGAACCCGTGTCACCCAGTGAGCACTGCGGTCAGTCAGAGACGTTACTTATGTCCTTCTAAAGGACTGTCTTGGTTACTTTGATTGGACACAAGTCAGTAACTAGTTAGCTGACATAGCATCAGGTTGGAAAAGAGCTAGTGGTGGTCAAACCAAAATATAGCTTCATCAGTCAATGAAATCCACAACAGTTAGTTTAAACTGGCCAGTCACTTAGGGATGTGTAGACTTCCTACCTACTTGGTTGGGGTCCTCGGGATGATAAAAACCAATGAAGGGTGGAGATAATTGGTGCTAAAGCTAAAAATAGTTCTCAATGGCTGGCTCAGAGGCATCCACTCCTTGTGTCTTGTAATATCCAATAAAACTATATTGTCCTTCCATATTACTATTCTTTTTGCCTCATATCTCTGTTTACTGTGTCTGTTTTTGCATTTCGTTTTACTTTCTTCTCTTACTTTGTGTCTGAGTGAAGTGTGGTGACTCGAACTGTTGTACATCGGTGCAAAGTTCTACGTTGAAACCAGTCAGTCTGTTAACTAGTGTAATTTGTCTACTACTTTCTTTGGTGTATGGTAGCCACATTGCAGACTTGACTGATAGAATTCAGTCTGCACCAAAGATAGGACTAGAAACTCACATACACACACACTGCACTAGTTACTAGCTAGCCAGTGTTCAATCAAAGGATTTTACCAATTTGGCTAGCAGCCAGCTCTCACCACAGAAGGAGAGGGTTGAGAATTTTCTTTATTTCTGTGTACATAAATCAGGGTTTTCTATCCAGATCGCTAAGGCTTCCTCTGCAATGCAAAGTATACGAGAGCTTACCGTTTGGGCATTACACTGGATGTAGCATCAGGCAAGTTCACTGTCGAATTTTGTGAACACATCCGATCACGGTTTAGCTCAATACTGCCTGAACGTCGTCCTGGCATTGATACCTGGTGAATGCATACTGCTGAAAAGTAGAAGAAGTTTCAGAGAATATGTCCAGTGTACTACACCCTGTGATTTTCAATCACCCGCTAACTAACTGATTGTGATATCATTTCGTGATCCAACTTAAGATCAATCATATCCATACAAAGCAACACTTGAAAACTAACCTAATGCTCACTGATGACTGACTACAGAATACGGTTGCCTGAAGTCCTCCTCCTTCAGTGAGTGAAGTCATGATCAACAAGGTTCACCAAATCACGTGTGAGGAGAGATACTCACCCATTCCACTGGCAGTAAACCTGGGATTCTAGTGAGAAGCCGTGACCAGTAGGGTACAGCAGGTTAAAGATGAGGCAGTAACTCATCGAAGAAGACATTGCAAAATGGTCGCGCTATGTCATGAATTGGCAGAAGTTAGAATTCAAGGACCATTGGATCGGGTCCCAGTGGCTCAATCGTCTACGAGCTCGCCTTGTAACCAGAAGGTCCTGGGTTCGAACCCCGTGGTGTGCTTGCCTATTGATGAAGAATCCAAAACTAGGACGAAACAGCTGTCCAGTACTCCCAGGTTTTCCAGTGGTTCTCTAACTGATGTCAGCTCATGATGAAATCCTCCATGGTATCTCTGATTAGCAGAAGTTAAAATTCATAGGCTGATCATCCGATTCCGTTCCAGTGACCAAACGAAAGGTTAACGAACGCACCATGCGTGACCTGAAACTCGATCCAAACAAGGACCAGAACGACTGATGTTTTCAATGGTTCGTTCTCTAACTGAATTCAGTCAGTTAGTGATCAAACTTTGAAACTTACTGATTGACTGATTTCAACGTAGAACTTTCCAACGATGTGCAACAGTTCGAGTCGCTACAATTCACTCAGCACACAAAGCAAGTGAAGAAAGTAAAAAGAAATGCAAGACATAGACGGTAAACAGAGATATGAGGCAAAAAGAATAGTAATATGGAAGGACAATATAGTTTTTATTGGATATTATAAGTCACAAGGAGTGGATGCATCTGCGCCAGCCATTGAGAACGATTTTTAGCTATTGCACCAGTTATCTCCAGCCTTCATTGGTTTTTATCATCCCGAGGACCCCAACCAAGTAAGCAGGAAGTCTACACATCCCCAAGTGACTGGCCAGTTTAAAATAACTTGTAGATTTCATTAACTAATGAAGCCATATTTTGGTTTGACCACCACTGGTTCTTATCCAACCTTATCCTATGTCAGCTAACATTGTCCGTCGGTCGAGGGAGGCGATGCCTACGGATGCATGTGCAACACATATCCTAACCCCTTCTAATCGGTACCTTCACAATCTCGTCGAATGATTTCTCCTACTTACCTACGTAGCACTTGACTGATGCCTAACGTCAATATTACTCACCCTATTACACCTACCACCTAACACGAGAGATATAACGCAGGCATCTATGATCAAAGACAGCTAGCCGGGTTTTCCCTGTCTTCCCCTTTCAATGACCACGTCTCACAGCCAGCCATAAAGGAGGACGAAGCGGACTGCTCGCTTAGCAGTACACACACCCTTTGATCGACAGCCAGCCGGATATCACGTCTACACCATAGACGGCTCAAAAACTGGCAACTTCGAAACTAAATTACTGGTAAGTCAATGATAAGAAAACAAACCAAATTAACAAAGTATATTTTAAAAATAAAAGGTCTCTTCATATATATATATGTTTGGCTACAGTTGAATTCGAAGACGCGAACGGCATAGGCCAGAAAGAAATTATGAAAAAGACGGAAGCACACCGTGGATAAACAAGCCGGCGCGCACACTCACTCATATATATACACTCAGATAGAGTTACCGCTTTTTCTTTTCTCTTCATATATTCAACGTTAAATAAAGAAAACTGTCTATGATAATACATGTTGTTCTTCCTCCCTCCCTCTGTGAAAGAAAACTAAGTGAGCACTACTCACTCACTTGTTTAATTAACACCACTGAGTAAAGTGAATTCACACTAAACGAAAAAGGATTAAGAGACAGACAGAGAAGGACAACAGTCGGGGAATGAAGGTTAAAAGCAGATGAGACAGGGACCGGGGTTAAAGGAGGAGGCGGAGAAAAAGAGATTCAAGATGGCGAACAAATGTATTTAGACAGTGACGATGACGACAATAGTAATAATAATAATAATAATAATAATAATAATAAAAAGATAATACAAATCTGTGTTACACCGAGTTGACATGCTTTCTCACCCTGCATTTCTCCCTCCTGTTTTTTATTATTGTTATTAGCTTCAAAATGGAAAAAAAAGCTTGGTTATTCTTATCACCCCCAGTTTCTCTGTCACTTCTTATAAGAATTAGCAAAAACAAGGGTATTATGTACACGCCGCACGCACGCACACTCACACACACATACAGACAGACAAACGCACAAACATGTTGTATTAAAGATTCTAATCTAAGTCGGCGGCGGGGGGGGGCGCGCAACTGATGTAGATCATTATATACCATCATCATCATCATCGGCGTCAGTATCATGAAGAGGGTTGAGTTTTTGGTGTTGAAGTCGTTGTTGTTGTTGGTGGTGGTGATGGTGGTGTTGCTGTTGATGGCTTTCGAAAGATACCATAAACACAACTATAATTGTAGGAAAGCATTGAAGCTGGATTCTGAGTATAACTACATTGGATACCGGTTTTTTCTCGCTATAAGAAATAATAATAATAATAGAATAAAATATAGTAACAATACTAAAAATACCATTCATGGAAAATTCTCCTTAAAACATAAAGAAATTAAAACAAATGTGTTTCAGCGAATTGATTCTTTTTCAATAGAATCTATTGTCTCTTCACAGCTGAATACTACTCGACACACAGGTATCTATAATATCTATAAAAACACCAATGCACTCTAACATTGGATATTTAGACTTTAATTCATCTCATCCGTTAACTGTCTGTTAAGGCAGGCTTAGTTAAGTGTATAACAAACCGAGCCATAGCACTAAGTAGCACAAAAAAAGACGTATATGATGAAATAAAACAGATAGAAGAAGAGGCGTTGGTTTTAAATAACTATCCCATAAAATTCATCAGGAAGATCAGTAAAGGCCAAAAACAAAATAAAAATAATTGTGTAACTAGTAATGATAACATAAATAAGAGAGAATATAAGTCATCTACAGTTATACCATATAAGGAGGGGATATCTGAAACACTCCCTACGTAGGATTCCTAATAAAGCAGGAATTAGGGTGGCATTTAAACCTACAAACTCACTCAGACAGGACAAGCAATGTAGGCTAAAGGACACGGTGAACCCAATTAAACGGAATAATATAATTTACAAAATATCCTGCAATGAATGTGAGGTCAACTATATAGGTCAAACTAGTAGATCAGGGGCATTCAGATTGGCGGAACATAAGAATTTGGCTAAGGTAAGAATGGTTGACCCCGAGAAGATATGTAATTTAGAAAAAGAAAAGAAACAATCAGTTCCAATACAAGAAGCCCAGAAGGTGTGGAAACACACAAAAACAACCAATCACATCCAAGGTCACCACCAGGAGTGATGATTAATAAACTCTCGGAGAAATCTAAAAGTTCACTTCAATTCAAATTGAAGTATGCCCTGAAGATGTCGCCTAGTAGGACGGTGATGAAAGCTTCGCAAATTAACTATCCAGCTGCTCAGAGAACACAACCACATCAAAATGTATGAAAAGTAGAAGGCCAATTAAAATACACAAAGAGACAAAAATAATTTAAGAATAAGAATAATAAAGAATAATTAACACTGCAATTGCATAACAAGATATGGTGTGATGGTGATGTGATACAGACAATGTGTGCCAACGGAATGTTATATCCCACCGTTCAATTCGGCATTAACAACAGAATATTATGTATATTTGAACATTCTAATTTTCATGTCGTTTAATTTAAGCGAAAATCACACGCTCAGTGATGATTGGCTAACGAATATAAACTGTAGATATTGCAATAATAAAAAAGATTTGTAGCTCAGGTGGATGATTTGCAATTAATAGTGTTCTCTGAGCTGGTTGGTTTAGTTACGAAGCTTTCGTCATCCTTCATGACAACATCTTCAGCGCCATATTTAGCACAAAGTGAAATGATTTAAATTTCTTCATGAGTGATATAATTGCGTCTCCCGGTAACCATCTTTACATATGTATTGATCATTTTCTATTGACTTAGATTTCAAACTTTCTAGTCACCTGATTTACTTTTTATTAGTTGGTATATTTCGTCTATATTAACGTGTTTGTTAATTGCATTTTCGTTTGAGTACCAGGCTTCTATGAATTCCCTGGCACCTTTGGTATTTCCTCTGTCTAAGATTTCGACATTATCCCAATCAAATTGATGACCATAATTGTCTATATGCATTGATACTAAAGAATATATATCGTGTCTTTTCACGGCTGATTTGCGTTCCTGGATTCTAATTCGAAGAGGACGCCCACTTTGGCCGATGTAATGCTTGTTACAGTTCATACAATTTATTGTGTGAGTGGTATTAATTTTATCTCCTTTTTCTGTTGGATCTTTCGGTTTGCATAATACCGCTGAAGAAATTTAAATCAATTCACTTTATGCTAAATATCGCGCTGAAGATGTTGTCCAGAAGGACGACGAAAGCTCCGCAACTAAACCAACCAGCTCAGAGAACACTATTGATTGCAAACTGTAGATATATAAACAGTGGTTTGATTAATGAAAAAGATGCCTTGACTTCTGTGTCTTGCCTTCTGTTGTTACAATAGTAATAATTATTCTAATTTTTTTATAAATCCTTTCAGTCATTTTGTGTATTTTAATTCGCTTTTACCTTTTCGTATATCAGTCGACTTGCACGTATTAGATGGTTAGAGGCAATCGGCTACAGGAAGCCCCATCTGACCTAGGTTTCGGGCTAACTGGCACTCACCAGTCAGCAGGGCGTATCTACACAACCAGCTCGAAGGAACTCATGTTCCCCTTCTGAAGAGATTCAAACTCACTTCACTCAGTGAGTATTGCTGTCAGAGACGTTAACACTGAGCTATTCTGGCTCTCGATTGATCCTCTGTAGGACTGTTTTGGATATTTTTGATAGGACACTAATGTAATGTGTCTAGTCCTACCTTTATTGTGGACTGAATTCTATCAGTCAAGTTTGCAATATGGCCACCATGCTAGGTGACTGACTGGCTTGGAGGTCAACTGCCAGCCTGAATAGCTCAGTGGTGACGTCTCTGACTGTAGTGCTCACTGGGTGACAAGGGTTTGAATCTCAAGGTTGCAGATACATACGCCTTGCTGACTGACTGGTGAGTGCCTACTAGCACGAAACCTAGGTGAGGTGGGGGGGGCTTCCTGTGACTGACTACCTTCAACTATCTAATACCAACAATGCACAGTGCACCATGATGGCTAGCCACCACCTATAATGGGTGGTCAATGTGCACACATTACACTAGTCCAATCAAAATTAAATTGGCTTGACACGCAAATGCATTGCACAAATACATTCAACACATTTTTGCAGATAAACTCCGTGTGCTAATATAACACTATCCAAATTCCAATCTATTCTATCAAGTTGTACTATCATGTGTATTTGATTTTCATCTTAGTAATAATAACAATAATAATAATGTGAATTGTGACCAAAATATTTGTGATCACAGTCGAAGTTAAAAGATTAAAACAACATAGTGTAGATTATGTACTTTATAAAATAGTTCATGCAATGTATCCATTTTACAAAAGTGATATGGAATGAATAAGATTAGCTACGCACTGTAAACATAACGCAGCAACAAGTTGAGAAATTATGATAAGATAAAAACATTGTAAAAAATATATTATATTGAATTATTCAAGTGTTTCGTTTATAGGGGGGGGATTTGAATTGATTGGTTCCAGCATTTTATCGCGATCTCATATATAATTATAGAGAACTATTGGAATACCATCTGGGAGTAGTGGACAAACAGCTGTTTGTCAGTCTAGAGTTTGGAACTCTTCAACAGTTCGGGTTTGAATCTAGAAGGTCCTGGGTGATGTTCACTAGTAACTAGCTTTATCCAGGCAGGTAGTTACCTGGCTTCTAGTGGGAAGTTGTGACAAGTAGGGTGGTAGGGCAGGATAAATACTCACCAACGATGACATTGGCTAGTGCCAGTTGCGGTGTATCGTGAATTAGCAGAAGTGGGAATTCATAGGCAGATCACTGAATCGGGTTCCAGTGATTGAAAAGGTCTACGAGCTCGCCTTGTAACCGGAAGGGTCCTGGGTTGGAAACCCATATTGAATTAAATAAATGAAGGTGACAACTGATATGAAACCAGAAAAATCAAGAAAATGCTACATAAGAACCTTGAATTCAAAAGTAACTTAGCTGTCGACATTCAAAGAAGAAGCAACTGACAGTCTCTGAAAAAGAACATTCGCTGCAACATCATAGAGAATAAGTGTCTTGCAGTCTGTCAGTATTGTTCAATCCTGCAGTTGACCAACCCCATGTGTACTTAACAGTTCGCTTGCTCTTGTGACGATAGTTTCGCCCACAAAGAAGGTGTAGCTATGAAAATATTGAAGTGGGTTTACGCGAAGCGCAAAAACCTTATGTCTAAAGGGAACAAATGCTTTAAACAGTGCCATCGCCAGGCATCTCCTTGACACGGGTCATGAGGTGGACGCCGAAAAGCCATTCAAAATTATCAGTAGGCAAAAGAGTTCAATTCTCCTCAGGTTTGCTGAAGCCATTTCCATCAAGTGCCTGAAATCTGATTTGTGCGTTCAGAAAGAAACAGTTATTAGTCTTTCTTTGTCATGCCTGGTAACTGGATATTTACATCTCTCTTTCATCTGAATGCGTAATGCTGAAAAGTTTCCATTGTGTATGATTATTATTGTTCGGAATAGTGTTTAATATTGCATATATATATATGTATATATTATTAGTGTATGGGTATATTGATCGATTGATTTTTGTTTAAAATGAACTCTGTGCAAGTATGTTAAAATTGTTTTTGTAGATATATTTAATAATGACTTTGGCCTGTTAGCAGCTGACGAGAAGGCAACGAAATAAAAGATGGTACCCCTTTATTCTGCAAAAACTGTAGTTCTTGCTTTGTTCAAAAGAACATATGGTCGATACTTATCACCCGTTATTTCTACAATCTCCTCCTTTAAAAAGTTATCTATAAAGCAACTCATCTGTGACACTGGAGCTTTGGCTATCGAAATAGAAAAGTCACGGTTTTGTAAAAAACAGAAAAGATGTCTGTGCAACCACTACGTTTTCTTTCATGATCTTAATCTGTCTATGCTTAACTAAGATAATCCCCATTCATAAATTGGCTCTATTCATTTTGCGTTCTATTTATTCAATCTTTACATCCATCTCTGATTATTCCGACTGTAATGATTATTATTTTCACTTTGAACAATTTCCAGTTTTATTTCGAACGTCACTGTAGGGTAATTTAATTTGAATTTATATTAATGTTTAATTTTAAAGTATTGGTTTTTTTGTAGGGATTTCGCCTGATTGGTTGCGGGATTTCATCAAGAGCTGACATCAATTAGAGAACCATTGGCAACCACCAAGGATTACTGGACATCCAACTGTTTCGTCAGCCTAGTTCGGGATTCATCATCAGTACGCACCCACGCCGCAGGGTTCGAACCCAGGACCTTCTGATTACAAGGTCAGCGAGCTAGATCGTAGACCATTAAGCCACCTGGACCCAATCCAATGACCAGTCCATCAATTTTTAACTTAGCAATGTCTTCGACGAGTAACTGTCCTCACCTTCGACCTGCTGTATTTAATTGCCAACTGATTTTTATTAATTCTATTTAATGAAGCCTGCTGTGGACTTTTCATCAATACCTAATTCATACGCTCGATAAAGAAGAAGAGACGTCCGACAGGCTGGAAAGCATAAATAACAAGAAACTCCGCTAGACAGCCACCAGCCAACCAGGAGGCAACAACCAATTATTCAACAATATTGCAAACATTAGGAAACGGAGATGGGTTCGGTACACATTGTGGGGAGACCAACCAAGTGACATCGAAACGCCACGCCTTTATATGGGGAACTCCAATGGGAAACGATGAGTTGGACATCCGAAAGGGTATGAGAAAGATCATGTAAATAGGTAATGAAAGCTTGCAGGTAATCGTGGTAGAGAACCAACTCCAGCGAATATGTGCCAGCAAAGCCCTATGTTTCACTCAGTATGCAAGCAATGAATAATATCAGAATGGAGATATTTTTCCCCTATTAATTACATAATAATAATAATGACGAAAAATATTAACTCACGATAACTTCAAAGCCTAATCGTTCAATAGCCAGTCGAAGTTCAGCATAACTTAATTCTAACGATTCTTCACCGGGGATATCAGAGAAATGGTATAATAATGGACCTGTAAACGAGAAAAGATAAGGGAAATGATTGCAAAATCAATGTTCACCATATAACTAACTTTGTTTGGTATTCTAGTCAGTGTTATTTTCAGGGTATGAAAAATTCCCATAGGATACAAATTAGCAATACAATTAGGACAGCGAAAAAGGGATTTCTTAGTTTCGTAAATTCCCTTCCACACTGTATGGTTACTTATGGGGTTTATGTGTACAATGTTAATTGCCAACAAAGGTTAGAGGTTACAGGATTTCATCATGAGGTGACATTGGTTGGAGAGAGAACCATTGGAAACCACCTGGGATTACTGGACAGCTGTTTCCTCTGTCCTAGTTTGGGACTCTTTATTAGTGCATACCCACCACAGGGGTTCAAACCTAGGACCTACCGGCTGCAAGGCGAGCTCGTAGACCATTAAGCCACCGGGAACCGATCCAATGACCAGTCCATGAATTCTAACTTCTGCCAATTGACAACATAGCGCGACCACTTCATAATGTCCTCTTCTATGAGTAACTATCCTCACCTTTAACCTAATGTACCCTACTGGTCACGTCTTCCAACTGGAGCCCTGAATAGGGCGATTCGCTAGTGAGCATCAGATCAATTTTCAATCATCGAAGAAGATATTGCGAAGTGGTCGTCCTATGTCGTGAATTGGCAGAAGTTAGAATTCATGGGTCATTGGATCGGGTTCAACTGGCCTAGTAGTCTACGAGCTCGCCTCGTAACCAGAAGGTCCTAGGTTAAAGCGTACTACTGAAGGGTCGCAAACTAGGCTGACGAAACAGCTGTCTATCCAGTACTCCCTGATTAGTTTTCCAATGGTTCTCTGACTGATGTCAGCTCATGATGAAATTCTCCAACTCTTGTATTTTTTTAACTCTTACATAATAAGATTTTGAGCGAACAATTGTTTTCGATAACTTCTTCTTCAGGCTCTACAGTTATAAATCCATGAATAATAGAGTACATATAGCCAATAAAGGCAAATGAAAATAATATCAGAAACTGTATTAGGGTGCATTTGTAAGTTGAGGTGATAGTCCATTAGTTAACATAGTCAATCAAATTTGTATAAGGTATATGGTCAGAAAAAATGTGAAGTGTGAATGAACAATTGGGTGATGCAGTGCTGTTTTATAGTCAACAGAATACAAGTGTCATTGGGGTGAGAGAAATGTGATAACCACAAAATACATACAAACATACACTAACAAAGGGAACACGGAATGTGAGGGCTGACCGATAATGTCTAATGATAAAATAAAGAGGTTAAATTGTAATAAGACGTTACAGAAATGGTAGGCTTAGTATAAAATTACAAAGGTTGACAAAATTAAGGGTAACGATGGGGTGAAATAAACTGGGTGGAGAAATGAATAATAAAGACATGATATCACAAAATGATAATAATAATAATACGAAAAATTATGATCCTGGTGACCTTATAGTGGGCCAGGGTAGACAGAGAGAGTGAATAAGTTTTTTCTGTACACATAGGTCTGATCTCTCTCTGTTAATCTCTAAAGCCTCAGCTATGGCTAGGAGGCGTAATCGTGTGCCTTTGGGGAGATTGTTCGGTACTCGATACACAATTGTAAATGACTCATCTACTTTGATGCAGTGTTCGCTATCCACTAGATGAGACAGAATTGCACTATTTAACGATTTGGTTGCTCTTTTCCTCAGCCAAACAGGAATATGTTCACGAGTGCGTAAAGATAAATTCCTTTGGGTACGACCTATATAACTAGCTCCACAGGAGCAGTTGAATTTATATACACACATTGATGTCACCATTTTGGATAATCTATCTTTAATGCACAGTGTCAATATCGATTTGGTTGAGAAACTGACACGCAGTTTTGCGGCATTAAAAGTTCTTTGAATTGCTCTCGTTAATCTACGGTTTAATATATCACCTTTGAATTGTTCATTTAAGCAAAGCTTTTTCTTACTTACTGTGTCTCGCTTAGTTTTATGTGTAGTTTCATAGATATACTTCTTTACAAAGTTGGTAGGATAGTCGTTTTGTAGCAAGGCGTTTGTAATATTTCTTATTTCATCTTCAATACAATCGTCGGTACACATGCGTCTAATTCTATGACTAAGACAATGAATAAGTTTGCGCTTATATTGTATAGGTATGAAGCTATGGAAGTGGGTGTATCGTCCATTTCACGTCGCTTTCCTATAGATGTTTCTGTTTAAGGTACCGTCTGTTCTTTTTGTAAGAAGGACATCCAGAAACGGAATACTACCTTGGAGTTCCTCTTCACGAGTGAATTTGATAGTTCGCGAAATATACCCATTAAGACATTGAAATAAGAACAAATTAGTTCAGCGAAGAGTCTCTTTTCGGCGAATTCATTCACTTAGCTGTACAGTCGCAAATATATATACAATTATTTTGTGTATGTGTGTACATTAGGTTTGTCAAAATCAAAATAACAGTTAGTGTGGGTTGTTGATTATATCATCAAAATAATGAAGAAGTTAAAATCTGTGATTAATAGTCAAAGTTGTAACTAAGTGGGGTGAAGATTGGTAAGATGTGAGTAGAGTTACATCATCAAAATAATAAAGAAGTTAAAATGTGTGATTAATAATCAAAGTTGCAACTAAGTGGGGTGAAGATTGGTAAGATGTGAGTAGAGTTACATCATCAAAATAATGAAGAAGTTAAAATGGGTGATTAATAATCAAAGTTTTAACTAAGTGGGGTGAAGATTGGTAAGATGTGAGTAGGGTTACGTAATATAGACATGTTTAGAAAGATTAGATGCTAGTGAAGGAGTTTGGAGACAATTATGAAAATAAACTAGATAATAGGTGAAAAGATTGAATGGGCTGGTTACTAAAAATGGTTATACGAAAAATTGCAAAAAATTTGATAACAAAATGTTGATGACAAATAAACTTGAAATTATACCCACGGTAGTAGGAGGGGGTGGAGAAGTTTCTTCTGTGTGCATAACTCAGGCTTTTCCATCCAAATCGCTAAGGCTTCAGCAATACAAAGTATACGGAAGCTTGTCGATTTTGGAAGGCTTCTTTTGACTTTATAGATGACTTTGAACGGCTTCTCCTTGAAAATCGAATGACCAGTGTTGAGTATATGCTCAATAATGGCTATCCTTATTGCTCCGTTGTTACCTTTCCGTAGCCAGGCGGGATAGTGTTCTTGAACTCTTTTAGATAAAACTCGCATCGAACGACCTATATACCTCGCTCCGCAAGAGCAGGTGAATTGGTAGATACACATGGAAGTGGTCAAATGCGATAGTTTATCTTTAGAGTAGTTGAAGAACAATGGCCGGGAGGAAAATGTCAGTCGTAGTGTGGCAGCGAAGAATGTCCTTCTGAGAGCAGCAGATATCCTCTTCTTCAAGGTGTCAGCCAGAAGGTCACCTTTGAAGGGTACATTCATGTAGACCATCTTCTTCTGCACTGTAATGGGTTGTTCTTTGTACGTCTTAGGCTTAATGTGCTTGTCTATAAAGCTTGGAGCAGGTGTTGTTTATCTAAATTATTGTTACAAATGATAAAGTTATCGTCAACATATCGACAATAATAATCGAGTTTGTTTAGTATCTCTTTTAAAGGACCATTTTCCAATTTAGATAGAAATATGTCAGCTAATAAGGAACCAAGGAGAGAACCCATAGCAACCCCATTTATTTGGCGGTAATACTCCCTATTAATTACAAATTGAACGTTCATAGTGCATTTTGGTAGTAATTCTTTCAATTTTCCTGGTGTGATCCCAATTTCTATTTTCTTTTCTACGAGTTGCTTGCATATGTAGTCAACAGTTTTTACAAGGGGGATGTTGGTAAATAGTGATGTTACATCCAACGATAACATAGTTTTGTCTGCTAGGTTCATATCTTTAATGTTTTCAACAAAGTTAAAGACATCTTTTACGCTATAATATTTAACCAACTGGTGATGTAGCGGTTCTAACAGATTTACTAATCATTTGGCAGTTAAATGGAAGGGCGAGTTCGACATGTCCAGAATTGGTCGTAGGGGAATTCCCTGCTTATGTATGTATCTTGGGTAAGCCATAAAGTCTAGGTGTATGAGTTCCGGTAGGTTTAATAGCGTCTAAGATGGAACTATCAATTCGATTTTCATTTTTTAAAAACTTCAAAGTTTTAACGAACTGGTGTCTGTCTGTCTGTTTTCGACATAGAACGTTGCACATATGTGCGGAAGTTCAAGTCGCCACACTCCCTCCTTGTAGCACACAAAGCAAGAGAAGAAAGTAGGAGAAATGCATATTAGAGACAGTAAACAGAAGTGTGAGACAAAGGAATAGCAATAACGAAGAACGATATAGTTTAATTGTAAATCATAAGTCACAAGGAGTGGATGTATCTGCGCCATTGAGAACGATTTTGAGCCATGTCACCAATTGTCTCCAGCCATTGGTTTTTACCGTCCCGAGAACCCCAACCAGTCCAATCCTGTAACATCATCTTGCATTCGGTGGGAGCGAATTGCATGCCAAACATTCGTAGATTGCAGCTCAAGGTGTTCAGAAGACTCTGCTGGATTTTGTCAGCGTCCTCGCCTAGAAGGACTATATCGTCTACATATTCTAAGTCAACGAGATTATTCCCTGGTAGCAAGTCAATCCCTGAGTCGCTGAAGTGAGTTAGGGGTTAAGTCCATTAATACATCTATGATGAAGTTGAATAGAAATGGGGATAATGGGCATCCTTGACGGACGCCACTAGTCATCACCACTTCAGATGATAACTCGCCATAAGCCCTCACCTGGCTGCATGAGTACGAGTAGAGTGCCTTAATCAGTGCAATGTATTTTCCCGGCATTCCCTTTACAGCCAAGCATCGCCAGAGAACCTCTCGGTCGACAGAATCGAATACCGCCTTTAAGTCAAAGAATATAATAATTGTTGGACGCCGGTAGGAATGCCTATGTTCTAGAATCTGTCGGAGGGTGAAGATATGATCAATACACCCTCTTCC